TGTACCTTCGCATCAACAGAAGTACACTTCCTAGGGTTTATAGTCACAAGGCGCGGCATACGCGCAGACCCTGCGCGTGTCGCAACCGTAGTTGAGTGGCCAACCCCGACTAGCATCAAGGAACTACAATCGTTCCTAGGCTTCGCCAACTTTTATCGCCGCTTCATTGCCCGCTACGCTGTAGTAACGGCCCCTCTCACTGATATCCTCAAAGGAAATCAAGTATTCTACTGGAACGAGATCACTACAGAGGCCTTCAAGGCGCTAAAAGACCGTTTCACATGTGCGCCTATCTTGCGCCATTTTGTTGCCGCACTCGCGATTCGCCTTGAAACAGATGCCTCTACGTTTGCCATCTCCGGCATACTGTCTCAGCTATTTGAGGACAACAAATGGCACCCAATTGCGTTTATCTCACGCAAGCTACAAAGCGCAGAACTGAACTATGAGGTTTACGATCTTGAGTTGCTGGCCATTGTATATTGTTTCAAACAATGGAGACACTATTTGGAAGGCGCACAACAGACCATCCAAGTGTTGACAGACCATAACAACCTGCGCTCCATACGCGCTGTCCAAAAACTGAATCCGCGCCAAGCACGATGGGCGCTCTATTTAGGTGCTTTTGATTTTGAGATAAAGCACCGCCCGGGCCATTCCAACCCGGCAGACGGTCCCTCGAGAAGAGTGGATTACGAGCAGGAGAATACCTCACTGACTCAGTTGTTGCCTACCTTGCAGAATAAGCTTCTGGCAAAGGAAGAGCAGAGTGGAGCAAGAAGATCCACGCCCGAGCCCAGCTCGGTGGGCGCGTGTGAGACGCACGTAGCCAGTATATGCAGCGCCGTGAAGGTCTCTACTGCTGGCGCCATGGGGTGCACACCATGCGTGCCACGCTCACTGGCTAGGGTACTAGTCAGTGGCGAACCTGCATTAGCCGGGTCGGAAACGTTGTTGGAAGTCCTGCTCCAACTCCAGCAAAGGGACGCCTTTGCACAGGAGAGAAGCGCAAGCTCCAATCAACCAAAACGCACTCGAGTTCGCAGAGATGCGCCCGCATGGCGCATCGATGAGAATCAAGTCCTGAGATACAATGGTAGGATCTATGTTCCAGAGGAACCAGCCATCAGGCAGGAGATTTTGTCCCAGAACCATGACACACACATGGCAGGCCATTTTGGCGCACGTAGAACGCTTGAGCTGATCAGCAGGCTATACTATTGGCCAACGCTGAGCCAAGACGTTCAGGATTACGTACGGACTTGTGCAGTATGCCAAAGGAGCAAAGCTCCAAGGCACAGTAAGCACGGCAAGCTAGCATCGCTGCCAATCCCAGAAGATATCTTCGAAGAGGTGTCACTCGATTTCGTTACTGGATTGCCACCAGCAAAGGACAACTCAGGTTGCGTCTTTGATGCGGTACTAGTGATAGTCGATCGCTTCTCGAAGATGGCGATCTATATACCCGCTTTGAAGACATGGGACGCAAAGCAATTTGCTGAATCCTATTTTAATCATGTCATCTTGCGGTATGGTATTCAAAAAGGTATTGTGTCAGACCGAGGGTCAATCTTCACTTCTGCTTTCTGGACAGAAATATGCTACCAACTACAGGTAAAGCGCAGGCTTAGCACCGCTTTTCATCCACAGACGGACGGACAAACAGAACGCCAGAATCAGACCATGGAGCAATACCTGAGAATATTCACCACAGACGCACAGGACAACTGGGCTTCGTTGCTCCCCACTGCCCAGTTCGCTTACAACAACTCAATCCATGAATCAACAAAATTAACACCATTCTACGCGGTATATGGGAAACACCCATTACTTTCTATGCCACCTGAGGACAGCCGGCGAGAAGGGGAGGTGCCAGACGCTGTTAACAGGGTGCAGCGCATGCACAGCGCACGCGCGTCAGCCAAGGAACAGCTGCGCAAAGCGCAAGAGTACCAGAGCCGCTACTACAACAACAAACACAAACCTGAAGTTTTCCACCAAGGAGACCTAGTGTTATTGAGTACAAAACATATCAACATACTCCACCAACCAAACAAGAAGCTGTCTAGCAAGTTCATAGGGCCCTTCCGTGTACAAGACGCAGTCGGAACGCAGGCTTACCGCCTGCAATTACCACC